TGTGTGTGTGTGTGTGTGTGTGTGTGTGTGTGTGTGTGTGTGTAGAAATTAAAAAAAAAATTAAGGCCTGTAAGAGGCCCTTCGCGCTCGACGGATAAAAATTCATTATACTTTTTCTATTTTGTTTCAGTGTTTCTAAAAAATGTATTCTTTACGATGCTTCCACGCAAATATTCGAAGCTTCAAGTAAATGCGATAGTGCTGGTCCAGTATGCCGACCAGTTAAAGCTCGTATATCGTTCTACCTCATGACATTGTCTATCCACGATTGACTGTCGTGAATTCATGAAATTCGCTGTCTCGATTGATTACAGGATATTTAAAAAATTTACATAGGTCTGTATTATTGTTACGCGTATATAAAAATTAAAAGTGTATTTTTACACTTTAGTAAAAAAGAAATGAAATCATTTGTTTAATATCAAATACGGATCGTACAGAAAATAATAAAAAAGAAACTTTACGTACGAATAACTTATTATGTTAATATTATGTAACATGCAACAACATAACAAAATAAAATAATGTAAAATTCTCTTATATATAAATATATATAACAGTATATATATATATATATATAACAAGTAACTATTTTGCGTATGACAGACTAACGTAATAAAGTTACAGATTTCTCGGTCGCCTTACGTATTCTATTGGAATCACGAGAGCAAAGAAATATTTTCAAAAGTTAGATAAATGGTCTTCTCGATATATGTGAGATCACGTTTGTTCACTTTCATATGTGCGACAGGATATGTATCCATTTGGCATTAATAAGCCGCGTTCTTTCCGCTCGCACCGCTGTACGAGTGACTGTTTACGCAAATAAATCTCTCGTTACGTGCGCGAATGTTCATATACCTCGATCTGATATTATTGGGAATGATATTACGGGCAAATGTTACGGGGACAAGAGCTTTTTTTATTGCTATCTTTCTTCTTTATCTTTAGCTCTCGTATTCGTGTTCCTTCGTTAATGATGTATGATTTCTGATACGTAACAAACTATCACATGGCGCAACAATCTATAAAAAGTTTTTATTTCATTTTTTTATTTCATTCTTTCTGAATAAGAACTTTTTGTTGAAGTTGATATCACTATCAAAGTTGAATTAAAATTGGTATTGATTTCTATCGAGACTATCGAGACTGAATTAAAAATAAAAGCTGATGAATTTCTATGTATTCTTTTTATAGTCTCGAGATCAGTTAAAAATAGAATAGCATTTAATTTAGAAAATGATGTAAAAAAGATGAGGAATAATTTCTCTTTTAGTTCAAAGGAATTTTTCAAAACATAATATATATATGACAAAAAGAAAAATTATTTAATTAAATTATTTAATTAATCTATAATCTATAAAGAAATTAGATCTCTATCTCTTTTCATATCTTTTCATGTTTTTTCATGTCATTTCCATTTATCGAATATATTATGGGCTGAGATTTCGTTTATTAATTATAACCTTGCGGATTTAATTAAAGTTCGCGACTTGTTTTTCGTCGATTGTTCTGTGTGCGAAATTATTTTTCTCCTTTCCTAGCGTGTTATGATGCAAATTTCTTTTCGCAATTGTGCCAAGTCATGAAAGATATTTTATAATGATTAATGATATTATAATAATACTTAATATAATGTATTCATATTACAAGACATCTTGTTCAGAGATAATTTTACCAGACTATTGTGCTGCGATGAAAAGGTAACAAAAGAAGAAGATCCTTTGAGATCAAGCCGTATAAGAGCAAGCGCGCACACAAATATCTCTTCATTCGTTTTCTCGTCATCGCTTTGAGCATCTAAGGGAGAGCGTGGAAATCATCATCATCGAAGTCGATCGGAAAGCCGAAAGAACGCTCATCGAAAGAAGTTTGTCGAGAACAGGAAGACAATTAGCAACAGCGCCGAGAAACGGGACACCTCGACGACGCCCGAGCCCAGGTTGTCCTGGATCACGTTGTCGTGGCATCGCGCGACGAGGTCGAAGTCAACGACGTTCATCGGTTTGCCGTTGTACTCGAACGGCGAGATGCAGTAATTACGACGCTGGAATTCGACGCTGTTACCGCGCGCAAAGTCGCTCTCGAGAACGTTGTGCGCCTGGCAGTCGCATGGGAAGTGATTATCGATCGCGCTGACCATGTCCACCTCGAGGATGACGTCCCTGGCGTGACGCGGGGCCTCCAGCACGTGATTCCCGTGAAAACGCAGGACCTCGATGTAGTTCTCGGAGCGCAGGTGTAGACGCTCGATCAGATCGATCTTGTTGTTGAGCACGTTGAGGTAGCCGACGTGCGTCAGGCCGGCGAACGCGTTCCTCTGCACCACGCCGAGGTCGCTCTCCTGAATGAAGATCGAGTGCACGTGCGACAGGCCGCGGAAGGTGTAGCTCTGTAACCCGGACAGGTCCATGTAGCCGAGCTTGAGTTGACCGACGTGCTGAAGACCGTCAAAGGCGTCCTGCTCGATCGCCCGAATACCCGGTGGGAAGATGAGATTGTTAACGTTGGTGAGACCGGCGAACGCGTGGCTGCGGATGGTCAGTAGCGGATTGTTGCTCAGCAGGATCACATTGACGTTGGACGTGCCGGCGAACGAGTAGCCCTCGACGTAGCGGATCTTGTTGTTCGCCAGCAGCAGCACCGAGATGTTCTGCAGGGCGGCGAACGAGAACTTCTCGATACACGGTAGCGGAGTGTTCTGGATCGACAGCTCGCGCAGCCGGTTCAGACCGCGAAACGCGAACGGCCGTATCGAGGAGATGTTGTTGCCGTCCAAAATGAGCTTACGTAGGACTCGAAGGCCGCCGAACGCGTCACCCTTTATCACCGGAAAGTTGTTCTTCGTCAGCGACAGCTCCTCCACGGTTTCCGGCAGCTGCTGCGCCGGGATGTCCTCGAGGCCGCCTGTGTTGCAGAGTACCTGGAACGGATTCACCACACACGTTTCGTTTCGCGAGACTGCACAAAAAAAAAAACGAATCGCGGAAAGATTATTAAAATTACAACCGTGACGGCAGCAAAAGTTGCTCAATAACGTTTACAGTAAATTATTACACGAAACGAACTTAGGGTAATTCATCGTAAAGATCTCATTTTTTAGTCATTTACAGAGTCAAACGTTCCGTTTAAAGACCGCTACGCCATAACGGCTTCAAGAAAATAACGAATATATTATACGTATTATTATACGTCGCTTATTATATAATTATATAACTATAATAAAAAAAAGTTGCACTCTTTCAAAATTAAAGATATACGAGTGATTATTTTCTTTTCTACCTGTTTCGGAGAAAGGCAAATGCATTCTGGTGGACAAACCCGGCTTCTCGTCGTAGTAATCTCCGAGTCGGAGGTCAAGTCCACTGCTGCTATGCATAGCAGGTAGTAAATGTAGATCTGCGAAATTAAAATACACGTGATTGTATGTGATGTATCGTGAAGAATACTCTATATATTTATTTGTATATCGAGCATTTTGTATACATTTCAACAGATGTGTCAATCTTGTCAAAAGATTTAGATCAAAAGAATAAATAAAAAACGAATAATGTGTTAATTTTAAAAGAAAAAGTAGAAGAAACAAGAAAAGAAAACAAGAAACGAGAAAAGAAATTCATGTCAAGTACTTTCGTACGAGTCATATTTAGATAGTTACAATATAATCGTCTGAGATATCTTTTTTGGTTCGATAATATATCACTATATGTCACTATTAGGTGTTCTGGTGCATATTTATTAAATAAAATTTATTAAATAAAAAAATGAAGAAACTTGAAGCAAGATAGGAAAAAGGCTTAAATTCCAATGCAACATTAATTTCTTTTATTTGTGTGTCAGCACAAAATTGCTGCGCCGGCCAGTCGCAAAAGGCCAATCGAGTAAAGTGTAAGTACTGGATGGCGCGAACGCATGTAAACGCATGAGACACGGTGCGTATGCACCGCCACCGCATGCCGGGGCTCCGTACCTGCGCCCTGCGATACATCAATCCCGGATTTTTACGGCGCATGCCTCGGCATATCCGGGGGTGAGAACGTCACGCGAGCGATGTGGGCAGGATGCGCGTATATATCTATATATATATATATATA